TATACATACACACACACACATACATACATACACACACATACATACATACACACACATACATACATACACACACATACACACACACACATACACACACACACACGTATGTATATATGTGGCAGGGGGATCACATTTTTACTTTTACTTTATTTTCTGCCCTTATCCTTTGTTTCTCCTTGCTCTATTACCCTAGCTTAGCTGCCAAATCTCCTACTCAAAGTTAAGTGAAAAATCATTCTTGCACATCCTTTGGTGATTGCTACAGTAACACACACACACAGGCCTATACCTACTTTTATGTGCACATAAATAGCAGGAACACTGGAAAGAGAAACACACTGGCTGGGTACACACATTGCATTAAGCCATACAATACCATGTTCACTTCTGGCTTAGCATGTTGTATGAACTTAATTGAGCTTCACCCCAGAAGGTTGAGCAAACCACAACTACCTTTAGTGACTTCTACTCCAATGCAGAAATGCATCCCTTCAGCTGTCCAAACTGAAAATGGCAAACTTCCAGAAGGGCCTGACTTAGCATGTCAGGAACCCCAAATATGCAGAACGCTTCATGTAAAAGAGACCCAGCAAATAGAGATGAGGGCTTTTAACCTTATTTTTCACTTCATCCCATTTCTATTCTCTCTTTCCGGGAAAGAACTAAAGATCATAAACATGAGGTTCCCAGGGAGTCTTCCATGCTCAAATTCTTCAGTGGTGAAATCTTTAACAAACATTGCAATGCTTTCACATTTTAAGATTTTGCCCTTCATCAATGAAGGCTAGGATTATGAGCCTGTGACAACAAAATGGCAATACTCAGGATCCTGCATAGACTTAGTCACTTACTCTTTCTCCCTCTCAACTTCACATACAATATATAGCTTTTATAATGTTCATTTACTTCTGGATGCAATTAAGATTTGCCACCTATCTCTTCCCTGCAATTTACCCTAACATTCTCCCCCCAAAATAGCTTGCTCTTTCATTTAATGGACTTCAGAAGGTTGCCTTGTGCTTAATGAAAAACAGCTAATATTCCCAGCTCACAAACTACCAGGCTTACTCAAGTCAATCCCTGCATAAATCACTGGATGTCTTAACTTCCACAGCTGCATGCTATTAGAATCCAATGGAGACTGAAACCACAACGGCACATCTAAGACCAAAGTTCTGCTGACTGTGAAAAAAATGGATGTGAGGAAGCCAAGCTGTTCCTTGATATACTACAACTGTGCTTACACAATGTGCAAAGACATGGCTAACCATGGTTTATACTGCCAACCAAAGCTGGCTTGCTTCATAAAATACACCAAACATAAACCATGGTTTAAAAAACCACATTGGCTGGTTTTACACCACACACCAAGCCAGAACCACACAAACCACATTATGGTTTGGTATATCATGTGAACTCAGCCAATCTGAGTTTCCAAAATGCTACAAGGAAGGCTACAGCTAATCACAATGGTAGAAGTAGTAATACCATTATATATAGTCATTATATCCCTGGACTTCTCTGGAGGAATCTGCTTTGCCATCATGGGAAACAGAGCATAGCACTTGAAGGGGTACCTGGAAACATTCAGCAAACTTCCACCTATCTAATAGGCACCAGAAGACCATTTCTCCTCCCTTTAAGTTGGATCTGTACATTTGCTAACCCATGATTTGTTTAGCCAGTTTTGCTGAATAAGCAACAACTGCCTGGCTCAATATGTTGGGTAGGAACCCAGCTACTATAATTTATGAATTAGTGGTATGAATCTAGATACTATGGCTTGTTCAACAAACCATAGCTAGAACATAACTTAGCTTAGCATTACATGTACAGTTTTGAACCAGATGATTTACTGTCTACCCAAGAGATCTTTTCAAGCCTTTTCCCATATCCCTGTACCAAAGGTCTGTATCAGGGTTTCTCAACCTTGGCAACTTTAAGACTTGTGGACTTCAACTCTCAGAATTCCCCAGCCAGCATATGGGACCATTTGATATCTTCACTATCAAACTCCTCCCTCTTTCCCTTTGTCTATATAAATGGTGTGTAACATATATAATTTTATTCATTTATTTATCATATTTATATAGCCGCCCATCTCGCACAAGGTGACTCTGGGCGGTGTACAACAATTAAAAAGAATAAATACATAAAAACAATTACATATAAAAATGTAATGTAATACACGTGCAAATATAAGGCAACTGATTGCTGCTGAGTCTAGGTTCCTGTGCTATCAGTACTTGTATCAAATTATTTTTTCTGTAGTTCAAGCATAATTCATCATCCCCCACAGATAATAATCAGCTAAGGTTTAGGACATCATTCACCTCTGCGGGCATATAAGCCATTAATCCTTTGGCATCAAGTTCCATGGTAAGACAGTACATCTGATTCCTCAAAGACCATTGGTTCAGAAGTCACCCCTAATTCAAGAAGAAGGGAGGACATGCCAGCTGAGACCACAAATCTTCTCGGCAGCAAACTTTTTCTTTACGCTTCTCCAGCGTTTTCACCTTGATTCAACAAAGCAGACATGCATCTGCCATACTTATAAAAGAATTTATTTTGAAATGTTGTGGAAGAATCCAATGCAATGAGTGTGTATGTGTGTGTGTATATATGTATGTATACACATAAACATGCACACATAATGATTCTGAGTGATTCTGAATGCCTCACTTGTGCACTGTGCTCATGACACACCTGTGGTCCTATTCACTGCCACTCTGGAGTAATTTGTTACCAAAAGCACAAGGCCCTTCGCTGGAGTTCTGCGAGATGAAGGTAACCTAGCGGGAATCAGAGGAGCTGCTGCTACTGCAAATCAATGGAGGTCCCCAGAACACAGAAATTATTTGTAATGAGTTTACAGTAGGATCTATTTAACTTAAAATTAAAATTCTTGGCACGTACTGCCCATAGACAGGGGATGTAGGCTTTTCCTCTCGGAGTCTGATTGTTCTGACCTCAAGAACTAAAACATTAATCCAACAAGGAAACAGGAAGGGAGTAGAAAGGAGATCATTTTTAAGCTCTTTAAAGCTGATGATCCATTATTGTCCACAAATGATGAGGGCTCCAAGAGA